CCTGGCCGCACAAGCCGCTCTTATCACGCGTATTCGAATAGAATAGACGTTCGTTGCGCCTTAACAATGAGATTGAACGGAGCCATAATTATTGAATTATGATGTCCAGCTTGTGATATTTTTTTGAACGAGAGTTTTGAGGAGTGTAGGAGGAGATTGGGGGGGGGGGAAGTTGCTGTTATAAACTACTTTGACCGTTGCAAGTGCAATTCGAATATCTTTAAAATATCGTATGTAGCCCGTGTAGAGGTAAAATAATTATGTTTCTTATAATTTGCAGGGCCATTGGGTTTTATAAATTCAATCTTTTTATAAAATAATTTCTACAATATCATAATAATGTTCTACTATCTTTATATTGCATGGCTGTCGTTAATAATCCAAATGCACAACTTTGAAAATTAATTATAAGAGGGAATGAAACGAACGTTTTATCCATTGTGAAATTATAACATGGATGTAAAAAATTCAATTCAAAGATTTATTTTTCAGATCCAAATCTACAATTTATTACAAATTTGTAGCATAGAAAGCCAAGATTTTTAAAGGCTCGAAAGTTATATAAAAAAAAAAAAAATTTTTTTTAATAGCATCCTATATATAAGGAATTTCATAAGGAATCAACTTCTCTCACTTTTCTTTCTTTCTTTCTTTCTCTCTCTCTTTCTTTCTTTCTTTCTTTTCCTCTTTTCGTTTTTTGAAAATTCAAATTATTTAACAAATTAAGACGCAAAATTGCAAAACTGTGTTACAACTGAATTACATTTTTAAGAAGACTACAAAGGCTTTCAATTTCATTTGTTAAAAAATTCTTCTTGAAGTTCTAAGAGAGTGAAAAGAATGTAAAAAAAAAAAAAAAAGAAAAAAATGTACATAGCAAAAAGTATCCGTGTTATGGACAATTACGGATGAAAATTTTTCTACCTTAAAAACAGCTCATTTTAAGTCATCCAAACACGTTCATCTCAAACCTCCTTACATTTAAAATGTCAAATTTCTATAAATTTTATTAACTTCAACTACGGTCGAATACAAATATTGAAAAATTGAAATGTAAAAAGAACTGTGAATATTAAATATAACTATTTAATAGCTATAGTATAGTATTGTGAATTTTGTAAGACTAGTTTTTTTTTTTTTTCTCTTTTTTTTAAAGTCCATTCATTAGCGTAAAGCTGTAAAGTGACAAGAGAGAGCTTTATAATAAAATATCAAATTTGCTTATAAAAAGTCCTTTAGTATATCATTAACAATTGATATTGTTTAATTAATGCATCGATAAATTTATACACGGATATATTACAAAGTTATTACTTGCACGTGGAATAATATACAGAATATATGAAGTGCTCGTGAAAGTGCAAGGGATCTAGAATAGCCGCTTTGCAGTTAAGGTGAACATGCCTTATTCGATTATCCTTGAGAGAGTTGCATTACAAGTGTATCGTGTATAACAGGTAAGGTTGTTCCTGCAAGTGCGACGGTGCTCAACGCGTTGGTTGAAGGAGTTGCTTCTCGCTCGGACAAGCCAATGTCCTCTCGCTCCTTCTTCGTCGTCGGCAAGAGACCGGGGAGCTTATTTCACCCTCCTTCTTTTTTTAGTCATCCTTATTTAGTTGGCATTTCCTCGAATTGCACTTTATCGTTTTTATCTTCTAGGTGCTTGGCTTTTTTTGTCCACCAATTCCGTATATTCGGCGCCTTTTCTCGATTGCCAGTAAGCCATTGCGCTGCTTATGCACTCCTATTTCCTTTTTTTTTTTCTATTTATGGTTTATGGTACTTGATTGGGGCATTTTTTACCTCTCGATCAAATAGCTTAGCAGGATTCTATAATATTCTATACAATATTACGTATTAATTATTTTCGCTTATGAAAATCGACAAAGCGTTTGGCAATTTCTAATCGCCATATTCGAACATCCATATTTCACTTTTCAATAAAAGCTAATTATTCGTAAAAACTTGAATAACAATAACATCGTTGGTTATGTTGCTAAAATAGCATTTGAAATTAAACTTCTTAATTGAAGTATTGGAAAATTTTACACTTTCAATTGATTTTCCAAATTTTATCTCCAACTTTTTAACCCATTCTTCTACCAATATTTTATACAGATTTTTATTTTATTTTTACCATAATCGTTTAGCATTTATTATTATTAATCGTGTATAATATTTTTGTAATAATTTTTCTTTTGCTATTTGAACGGTATATTTCATTAATTTGAATCGAGCAGCTCATCATTATCAACAAGCATCTTTGCAAGTACTCGTGTAAGCACAAAGAACATTTCCATATCCGTTAAACGAACAATATTTTTCAACTACACTGTATTTATCATGCTACACGATATTTTATATGATTCCTAAATATTAATTAGTCACGAGGGTAAAAAGTTTTATATCCATTATTTGTGCCAGAAGAAGTAAGAGCGAGGAAAGAATGCCTCAAAGTTTTACGATAACGGCAACGATAAGAAAATCCTCAGTGGCGTAAAAAGAGGATGTTTCAGCGGAAATTGCAACTGTATGAGTAAGAAGACTTTGGGGAGCGTGAGAAGGAGTGACAAAACGAAGTGGAGATTCGACAAAAGCTGACTATGCCGATTGCACATCGCCTCCGACTCATCCAGCTGCACATATTCGCCGTAGCGACTCTTCAGACTTTAGGAAAACTGTCGCCGCGGACACATATTATTACTTCAAGACTACGTACAATCCTCTTTTTCAATGCATATTTTATAAAATCCCAAGATTATTCGTTAGATTATATTATAAGATTTTTCATAATGGCAAATTTTCATATAAAACATTTTCACATTAAAAACTTTTGTTTATATATTGATTACTTGTGGATACGATGACATGGTAATTACGTATATTGGTATATCTCTAACAATTAAAAGAGATGTCGAATAAATGTTGTAGTTGCGAAAGTCAATAATCCTTATCAAAGATAATATTTGTTGGTATATATAAAAGTTAACAGTGGTTATTACAGTGCCTTTCCATTCGCATAATTTTTTTCCAATCACAGCAGTTGTATAGCTTCGTACACCCGTCTTACTTCATTATAACGTACACTTTTTATTATTATATTCTATTTGTGATCTCCGCCCCCCCCCCCACCTACTCCACCCTCCGCTCCGCCAAATCACCCTACCCTCTCCTATCCGCGCAACCTCAACACACGTCCCAATGTTATCCCGACGATCCTAATTTCGTTCTTTTCAATAAAGATCGCGTATGCTTTCTTTCTCTCTTTTTCTCAAATTTTACGTCCCTTAGAGAAACATTAATACAAAAGATTTATTAACCTTGAAAATAAAAAAATATTAGGTAATTTAAATATTGTTTAACAAAGAAATGATCTACAGTACTTACTTCTAGTAAAATCATATAATAGAATCATGTCATTTTTTTCTCCTGACAAAGCAGACTTTCTGTACTACAAATGCAAGTAATTATCCAATTTAGCGAAATCCTATGTATTCACATTACGAGAGCGATAATGAAAAATCAATGGAACGGAAGATTATGAAATTGCAATCTTTGTCGAACTATAACCTCAAGTATAACTCTAAAGTTATGAATCGAGTGCTGAATTTCACGCAGTTAGTTCAAAGTAGTCTATTGCCTCCATCTCCATCCCACCCCCCACCCCCCTGGAATTTATCGTATCCTCAAAATACACACAAATCTCGTGAAACGTTCAGCGACAATTAAGTTTAAACAACAGCTCGGCGCCTTGAGTTTGCTGATATTCCCACGAAACGTGGAAGCGGCGAATCGTCGGTTCCGCCCGTTACATAATCCATAAGCTTTTAGAGCCACTTGGATTTTGCTTGGAGGCTTGGATTTTGGATGGGCGAACGCGGAGACGATGGAATCGAGGATCAACCAAAGTGTCGACGGTGCACGCGAGCTCGACTTTCCGATGATATCTCTTTTATCTTTCAATAATTTCTGTCGCGGCATTCCGATTACATGGGTACGCTATTTTTTATAGCTCGCTTTTCCGCTTTAGCAAAAGAGTCAATGATTGTTAGGGCAAGGAACAAGGAGGCAGAAAGAGGAATATTGTGTTTTTCGCGTGAGAGCTTTTCTCCGGGCGAACCGCCGAATGCTTTTATTCACGAATAGATAGAATGAAATTATTATTGTTAGCTTTACGAATATTTCATTACAAATCAGTCTTTGTAAATTACATATCTATATAAATTTATATAAATAGATAGTTGTGTGTGTGCGTTCGGCGTGTAAGACACAGAGAGAATTTTACGTGCGAGAGAATTTTGGGAAGAATACCAAGGGTCATAACATTTAAAAAAAATTCTTCCACGCTCATCGGAGGCTCGGAAAGCGCAGTAAACGACCGTTGGTTTTAGCTAGCAAGAGCGCGCCGAGTCTGTTTATGCGAGAATATGTCAAGAGTGAGAGAAATATATAAACAATCGAGTTGAAAAATATTTCCTAAAATTCGTTTGTAACGAGAAACTCGGCTGGTGCGACATCGGCCAATCCTCGTGTGTCCTCGATGCCCTCAATGTCACGAGACATCACTTACGCATACATTGTTGCCGTTTGCATATCCACGCGTTGCCACTTGCATAGGCCAAACGAAGACGTTTTACCAACAACACCTCCCTCCCCTAACCCCTTCGCCGGCAACGTCGCTAAGTTCTGGAAAGGAATGAGTCTCCCGCCAATCGAAGGCGCTGCTGCCAAAAATACTTTTTTCGACGTTGCGATTGTCCAAGTCCGCGTGGAGTAGCCAAGTAGGAATCATTTCTCATTTATCGGTGAAAACTAGTGACCAAGTTTTTGTTAAGTGATCCACTGACCAGAAGGAAGATCATACATCAACCCTCCTGTGGGATCAAATCAAGGTCACCGTATCACTGTGAGTACACAAAGTCCAGTCCGTGTCCATGACTCGAGGATCATCTTGTGTAGTGAAACATCCGTCACAAGAAATCGCATCTTTACAATTAAACTTGAGACGCATCCAATACATGAATAATGTAATTGTTTTATAAATTGTAAAATAAATCTTTGAAAAACAAGTCCACTTAACTTCTCCCCGAGCATTTGCATTTGACCAGCGCGGGTGGAAAATTATTAATTATTAAAGCAACATTGTCAGTTTGAGCCATAATTTTCCAACAGCGCCTTTTCATTGATTTTAATCTTATTTTCTATTTTATAGTGATAACTTCAGTTATATTATCATACAATATACAAATTTATTTCTCTAAATGATCAAATTCTAAATTGTCCAACTTATTGTTGTTATCGTTAAGAAGAATAAAAAATTAAATACATTTAATATTGAACAATTCATCAACTAAACTGTACCTTCGTACGTTAAATAATTTTACTTTCTCGTTAATTTCAAATTCCCAGATTTAGTAAACGCTTACGATGTAAGTAACTATAATATTCTTCACTTACATTATCCCTCTTACTTTATTTATTAATTTGCCGACGATGATGTACCCGTAAAACCAATTTAATACATTATTGTTCGTTTAGACGGACCCGATCAATGCGATAACGAAAGTGCGGCCAAACTATATATTGCATAAAGTATTTATATCACAAAGTCTTGTTTAAACTTCTAGTATTGTCAATATTTAAAAATGGCAGAGACAAGTTTTATCTTACGTTGCCCGAATTGGGCTCCTTATTATTTTAATTTATTGCGTTACGTTAATACACTATCAATTGATAAATAGTACCCGAATCGGAGATTCGAAAACATTGAACATTCATGAGCAGCGATCACACGTGCATGGGCATTTGCATAATACTTGTGTAGGATTATCGATAAGGAAGGATTGCCAAGGCGTCCATAATCAAATGTAAGGATTTGGGTTGATTTTGGGTAACTCGTCGTGTGCCTCACCTCGTTGCCGTTCCAAAGCTTATAACGTCGCCATTCTTGAAAATCCGGTCGCCAGTACTCGATGGTGTACTCCTCGGTGTACTCCTGGCCTCGGCCGTGATCGAAGCGGCCCTGCGTCTCGATGGCTGTTATGACGTGGGCGTCGCCAAGGTCAATCTGCAGCCACTCGCGGACGCCACTCTCGATTTGTCGTTTCGGGCACCAAGCCCCGCCGGCCACCTCCTTTCGCAATCTGAAACACAATATTCCAACATTGCTCTCTGTACTTCATGTATGAAAGAACGCCACATCCGGCTTTCGTTGGAAATATATCATAATCGAGCCTTGGCGGTAAACACATACTATTGTATAAACGAATCGAGGCTCAATGCGTTTTTACGTAAACGTGTATAATAGTGTGTGCGGAGTAGTAGGCCAATGTATTGTTGAGCAAATTTTTTAATTAAAATTTATCTTTTAGTTTAAAACTTTCACAAGACTAGAGAGAATAGTAAATTCATATGAAATGCGCTTGGATAAGTTTTAAAGATGACGTTGATATATCCATTTTGTGACGAAATTTTATTGAATTAACTTCGTAATGCACTAGGAAAAAAGTAAATCTATCATTTTCTCAAAGTTCTTTAATTAACACGATTATTCTCAACTCCATTCCTAGACATATTTTCAAAATTTACTTAATTAATTTATTACTTAATTAATATTATAATTAACTAGTGTCTTTGTTATGCGAATTAATGTAATTTAGTACGTAAAGCTGCAGGAATTTTGTAGGTTATATTATTACTTATTACCGTAAAAAAAAAAAAAAAAAAAAAAAAAACCCTATAAAAAGTATCAAATATATTCTTATATTTATTATATTGTTACAAAAATTATATTCCTTAAACGTTTTTATGTTTAAAATTAAGTATTTAGTAAATGTGAATTTTTAAATTAGAACCCTTGGAAATGATATACTTTGAGCTTATTAAGAAAATTAAAACATTCATCGTTTCAAACAAACGACATATAATGAAATTTTCAAATAAATCCACTTTTGTATTATTTATTGTACTGTTTAATGAGTAAAAATTACCGATAATTTAAATGAATTGAGAAATATAAGATATCAAACAGAAAACTATGATAAATAAAAAATAAAAAATATATTCAATGATGAAAAATTAACGTAGAAAAAATAATTAATTACAAACGAAATAAATTGATTTCATATATTATTTCAAATTAGTTAAATTTACTTATTCAATATACAAATAACTACGAGGTTTTTTTTCTTCCAATCTAAGATTATTTTAATGATTACATTAGACCATACAAATACAATTCTACATTCAATACAATTTAGTAAGTTAAATAATAAACAAAATGAATAAATGTACATGAAAGATGCTTAACGAAGAGTAAAGACAGAGAGAGAGAGAGAGAGAGAGAGAGAGAGAGAAACTACATTCATAGTCAATAACTGATCATGAATAATTTCACAAGATTCAATATTTTAACAGTACTATTACTATTATCAGCATTATATCAATGAGAAATTCAATCTCTTTATACTAATGTCATTGATGTCCATTATTTTCCGATAATCATATTGTATCTTAACTATCTCAAAATTATTATGAAAATAATGATATTAATACAGAATCTTATGTGAAAAAAAATCTGTTATTTTAAAATTTGTCAATAATTATCTACCGGTAAGTTTCAAAATATTATTTAAATGAAATATTCTCATAGTTTTAGTTATTCTATAATTTATATAGTTTAATAAACAAATATTAAGGTGTTATACATATCCAGATTGTACTCATTTCTACACCTTATAATAGATTTTTATACCAATAAATATTTAAAGTTAAGAATTTTATCGAGTAGTATTAAAATTATTGTGTATGAAAATAACAATCGAAAGTACTTATCGACGACAAATACATGTAAATATATAATTGAATAAAATAGCAACGAGTTGTAATACATTAAGTGAATTGTAAAGATTTCATTAAATATTCTTTTATTATATTGACATTCGCTTTAAACATTTTCATGGTCAAGATGAAATATGAAAGCCATTATCTTTAACTTATACTTTTAAGTGATTTATTTGTTAAATTAGTAAATATTCACGACCATTATAAATTTTAATTAATTTCGATTACATTTCATTTCAATTTGAACAAAAATTTGACAAAAAGTATTCAAAATAAAATAATAATCCATGACAGTTGCGCTGCTTAAAATCATTTTTGAGGAAAATTTTAATAACTAGAGTATAATACATAACTTGGAAGATGGTGGCAATGAAATGATTAAATAAGTAATTAAAAAAGTTAATTCTAATACTTTAATATTTTAAATATGGTTGAAAAAATGCGTTAATTTTTCATTTTTTACAGATTCTATTCGAAACATTGTAACTCTAAGATTTATTTAAAAAACAATAGATAGAATAGAATTTTAAAGTTTGTGCATCATATTAAATTTTTACTCGTCAATTTGAACAATATGATCATAATTAATTAATATTATTTAAATAAACTAGCTATCAAATTGCATTTTGCAAAGTTCGTCTTTCGTTAACGCGAGCGTAAAAATTCTGGTAGACATAGATAATAGAATAATGAATATGCAAATTGTAAATGTACTTAATGAACTCGAAAGTTCACTGAAAAATCGTCTGTTTTATAAACATATTAAAATCGATATTGTGGGCAATGATATATGCCAGTACGTTAAAACTTGATGAGTACCAATTAAATAGCCAATGGTGCGTAAAGGAGGAAAAAAGATAAAAAAATCTCTTAGGAAGGTTTTTTTTGCCAGCTCGAGTCATCCAGTCACCACTCACCAGTTCGTATAGGGCGCGATATTACCGCGGCGACAGAAGTCGAGAGGGATGGGATGGGATGGGATGGGAGGGGGTGGGAGGGAATGGGAGGGGATGGGATGGGGGGGGGGGGGGGGGGGGGGGGGGGGGGGGGGGGGGGGGGGGGTGTTGGTTATTTTTTCGCAATGGGGAATCTTGTTAGCCGCTCGTAAAAGTGAGCCACTTGGCAGGCAAATTGCAGCGGATGTTTTTTGCCTCGCGATCGCGCCCATCAATGGAATATCACAGGCAATGGCCTGATCATCTTCGCCTGCCGGCGCTCATGCGAGTCATTAAATTAAATGGATTTGCAGGCCGTTTGAAATGGAAAAGGGATGCGGATGTCGGGTGGTTTGGTGGGGTGGGGGTGGGGTGGGGGGCTCCGGAGGCTTTTCGTCAAATAGATTTTTCGATTTGTTGAGTATCGTGTTCGAGTGCGTATGCGCCGACACATTGCCGATTACAACGGAGAATAAAAATTCAATGGATGGAAAATAGAGACTGGTTACACGTTCAAGCGGCGGCGCTGATTTCTTCCAGTTCGATGAATTGTGACAAGAATTTGTTGTTGCCCTCTCTCATTCCACGAGTTTCGCAATTGTGAAATAAAAGTTGTCGCGATAATAATTTTGAAACAAACGATGCAGAGATATCGAAGTATATTAATTATGAAAGTCGCTTCGTCTGTCTTACTGATGCACCGAGTTTCAATTCTTCAGATCAGATTCACTTATTCTGATGTATTAAATTTCTGACCATCTTTCTAGATTTTTCAATGGAATGAATTTAATTAAGATTTATATGAAATATTTTTATGCAATTTTATGTAGGTTTGGAAGACTTTTTTGAAAGATGGAATGAGTTTTCGATATTTAATCAATTAAAAGTTCATTTATATTTATTTTAAAATTTTAGCTTTCTATGCTTAATGGCAGATTTTAAAAATGGTATAGATAGATCAAAGCTATTGTTAAAAGAAATTATATTTGATTAATATTGTTTGAAAAAAGCACGAGAATATTTTAGCTTGTTATTGTTATAATAAAAGCTGTTATTTGAATTAAAGTTTTAGTTATTTCCCTCATAACTGACAAATAATTTAACATATTGTCGGCGAATAATTGAGAAAGAATAAAAAAAAATTATCTGATATTTCATCCCGAAGCTATTGATGTTACACGCACAGTTCCATAATTAAAAAATATAATACAAATTATGCGATCTTCGTTTTATTCCTTTAACCCTATTAATATTGATTATGCGAATAACATTAACAAAGTAAATTAATATTATCATAAAAATTAATTTCACTTTAAGTGCCTCATCTGTAAATTATGTAATATCTTAATGAAGTCCTATATAATTTCAGTATGAATAAGATAAAATTTCAACCACGAATTATGAATTACGCATGATAAATTCGGTAATATTGCACAGTTAATTAACGAATTAATATTTGAAAATTGTATTGAAAGAAATTGCATCTGGAGAGCTATGTTATTAAATGAAAGTTTGTTTAATTAATTATAAACGTAATTATAATGTGGCTGGAATTATATTTACAGAGCGAAGGAATAATTATTACTATTAAGCTTATAAAGTGGTATATTAAGAGTAACAGCGGTTATACAAACTTACTAAAAGGAAAGTTAAAAGTGAGTTTTAGATATTTTACATAGACAAATAACTTTTTACTAAATTGTATATATCGAGATTACACGGCAAATTAAAAATAATGGAAAAAGTTAGTTGGTGTTGTGTTAATTGATATCGTTCGTTCTGTCTCTTATTATGGCTCCTTAATAAGATGGAGATATAATTGGAAATAATGATTTTGTAATGTCAATGTTGTAAGTTTAAATAACATGGCGATTGGCATTCATCTTGAAATGTAATTGAAACATCAACTTATTCTACTGATTCTTATCGAACTCTTTTCTTTTTTTTTCTTTTTTCCTCTTCATCACTTGTCCTTGCGTGCAAGAACGTTAAAATGATGTATAAGACAGGAGTGCTGATTGCTCCAACAGCTATTATGTCACTTCTTATTCTATCGTTTGTTTAAATGTCGTTCTCTCTCGCTCCCCGATAGGCTACACTTAAATCGTGCGCGCACGCACACTCGCACACCTGCTTCGCATGTCCGGTGAGAATAGACAAACACATATCGGCATAAAAATTGATTGCTTGTTAAGCGAGGCTCTCTGCCAAAATGAATCGCAAACCTTCTTGATTGGATGTCGTTTGTTCTGCTGCACATTTATTGAGTTGCAGTGCTTCTCCATATTCAATTTTTATGCGATCTCTTTGATTTCTGTTCATGCTTGAGCGCATAAGCCTTGTGCTCGATAAGTAAACAATATGAG